ACTCAGTTAAGTGGAACCAGGTCACATAACATGGTTTAGTAAATCCAACATTTCATTTTTAGAGTGTATGAAATATCCAAGCTCCAAGAAGATGGTCCCAAAAGATGAAGCCTTCAGTGAATGTCTCAGACTATGGAAACTGAACGAGAAGGAGCTGAAGGAACCACCATGGGAGGAAAAACCCTGCATAGGATGTACCACTGACAGATAGTTGCAGTAGCTGATATGACCCAATGGCTGGAGAGGGTAGGACTGAAGGACGGCACAGAAGCACTGATCATGGCAGCACAGGAGCGGCCTTAAGCACAAGGGCAATTAAGCCTCAGATCTACCATACCAGGCAAAATCCCAGGTGCAGGCTGTGCAAAGAAGACCCAGAAACAATCCAGCATCTCACAGCAGGGTGTAAGATATTAACAGGAAAGTAACACATGGAACACCATAACCAAGTAGCTGGTATAGTGTACAGAAACATTTGTGCAGGAATATTTTATTTCAGGACAGAGGTAAAATAAATATTGAGATGTTCTTCAGAACACATTACTTGTGTTTATAAAACATACCAGAAAAATACTGCGATCCTGACTGGATCCATTTACTGTGCAATGATGAATTTTCTTTAATTTGTCATTGATTGTGTTTCTGAGGTTTAAAGCTGCTGTATGTAGTTTCTTGAAAACCCAAAAACTTAGAAATATTTTGAACAGATACAACCTTCTAGTCCCTCCCCCTGCTCTCAGCTCCCCTTCCTAAGCTCCTCCCCCACAGCAGGGCCCAGAGTCGGGAGTGCACAAGCTTGTAAACAGGTGGTGAGCCACACCGTAACACACAGAGCTCAGAGCTAAGCTGCCGTCACGGGTAAGAACAAACCATCAACAATATATTTTTAACTATCACGTCTTTGCTTTTTCCATTTCAAAATAAAATCACAAAAAGAAAACAATTGTTTTGTTTATTTTTGTCCCATTTTTAAAACCTAAATGTAAAATTTGAACTAAATGAAAGTGTTTGATTTTTTCTTCAGCTATGTAAATCTGAAATACAATTGTTTTAATATGTAGCAATTTCAGAAATTATGGAAGTCACCAAAAGAAGAGGAGTTCATAATGGCCAGATGACTTCTTAAAAACAGAAACCGTTCATAAACTCGAACTATATTCTGCACGTCTTGAAATATTGAAAACTATTTTATTCACATTAGGACCATCAGCTCTCAATGAGATGCGTCGATTTCCTCGAAATAAGACAAAAAAATCCATGGTGAGAAGTGGAAATGAAATGCGCCAGGACTTCAGGCCATGATTTCTGGTTCAGACAGAATGTCCCAAAAAGTGAATTAACAAAATAAACAGCCCATCTTTGCTTTAACCATCATATTGAAAAACAAAAACAAAACAAAAAAGTAGCCTTTTTAGTTTTTGTTATTATTGTTTTTAATAATCAGTTGAGTCAAATTCTTTTAAAGGGATCCATGATTAGTTGTAACATTAGACTTTATTTACCGTATTTTTCGGACTATAAGCCGCGACTTTTTACCTGAACTTTGAACCATGTGGCTTATAGTCCGGTGCGGCTTATACATGGATTTTTTTCTTCAGCCTCCAGGGGGCTCTTATGCTCCATTTGCTTCAACCACTTGCTTCAAAAAAAGAAAAAAAAAAGAAGAAAAAAGCGATCGTTTCCAGAGCCGACTGTTGACCAGGAAGCAGCGATTTAAAGATAGTCAATGGCCAAAAACTCATTAAAGGGGATAAAACAGACATTTTTCACAGTGGAATCTGACTGATAAAAACTTTGGAGCTTAATCCAGGACCAGTTTGTGGATAAACGTCGAGTGAAGGGCTGCTGACTTTTTTTTTTGGCATTGCACTCCCCGGGGAAGGAATCCCATGCAGTGACGTATGCTGGAGCGGGAGGGCTTTCCCAGCAGCTCGGCTCTGGGTATCTCGGGGGAACTATGAAAGGTCAGTGTGAAAACAAATGCCGAACAATCACGTGACGGTGCATCGACCAACAGCTGAGCGACCACACTGCCAGCTTAGCCAGAGGTGTAGCGCCATTTTGTTTTAGCTAGTAGCAGACACGACACGACGGATCTTCGACAGACACGATATTGGACAGTATGCGGGCCCACATCACGGATTCGGTGAAAGCAGCCATCAAGAAAACAAACTCAATTCCTGCTGTTATTCCTGGAGGTACAACAAAGTTTTTGCAACCCTGGACATCAGTATGAATCGTGCATTTAAAGCAGCACTCAGGGCTGAATGGGAGGCTTGGATGACTGACGGGGATAAATCATTCACAAAAACTGGCCGAATGTGAAGAGCGTCATTTCCTGATGTCTGCCAGTGGATCCTAACAGCGTGGAACAGAGTGAATGAGTCCACCATCACCAATGGGTTCCTAAAGGCTGGACTTCTACATGAAGAGGGCACCACAGCTTCAGAGCCAGCATTACCTGGGAGGACAGCGACACAGAAAGCAACACTGAACAGGTACCGCTGTGTGACGCAGCTTTTCTCAGCTTGTTTAACTCCGACACTGAAGAGGAGGACTTCGATGTTTTCAGAGCGCTGGAGGAAGATGAATGAGACGTTTTGTTGGATCAGAAACTGTTAAAGAAAACTACCAAAATAAGGTCAGTTAAATGAACCATATTTCTCTGAACTTTAATTCTTAAAGGTTTGCTTTTTATGTTTTGATGTTGAATTCACTTTTTTGACAACAATTTTGGGTGTACTGTTTTTTTTATGTTGGGGGTGCGGCTTACAGTCAGAAAAATACGGTAATAAATATATATTTTAACTGTAAAATAA